ACTAACCAACAAATAAACAACTAAGCAACCAACCAATGGAATGGCTTGCCTTCAGACGTTGTGGGAGCTTCATCGCTGGAAGCTTTCAAGGCAGGGTGGATAAAAATCTACGATTTAAAATAAATAAATAAATAAATAAATAAAAATCTGACTTTTAAAAAATTTAAATCGGATTTGTTTGATTTAAATCAGATTTTTCTTTTTTTTTAAATCAAATTTATTTTAATAAAAATGCTTTTGGAGTAAAAAACCTATCGAAAGATAGTTTTCTATTTAAGATCGATTAATAATTTGGTTTTATTCAGTATGAAGTGGAGCTTAGTGAAGCAGGACGAGGCTGCATATTCTGCAATATTTACATTTTTGGCAAAACTCATTCAGGGAATCCAAGCTCTGCAAGCTGAGATGACAGGCACCGCACTGATGCATTCACACAATTTCACAGTAACTGTGAGATTAAATCATAAAACGAAGTTCAGGAATATTCCTTTATCCCATTGTTTTGCAAATCTGTGTACACCAAAAACTGTATGATTGTTTGAAGAGAAATGCACCTGTACCATCAGGCTCTAAGCGTGAGGAGGAAGGGCAAGCAGTAAAAATGAAAATGAAACCTTCCAAGCAGCTTATAAATATAATATTAAAGGGCACCTGTCATTCCAGATCCATCATGGCAGTGCCTGTTAGCGGGCATCCACTCACCTGCTGCCCGCCACGCCCCTCACCTTGTTGTGTCACTGCCGCGACACCAGTCATCCCATTAAAGTGACTGGGACTATCGGTGAGTCAACAGAGGGTCAGAGGAGGAGTCGCTGCGGAGTAGAGATGACAGTTGCCCTTTAAAAATTATTTAAATCTTTAGCTTTGGATATAATTTAAGGGATAGCCTTTTGAGGGTTATATTTGGAAGAATTGAAGTAAAAATGTTTAACTAAAAATGGATAGCTTTTTAAAAGTTATTGAGGTATCCAAATGATTAATTTAAAATTTAATGGATAGCTTCCTGAAAGTTTTGAAACTTATATTTTGAAGAATGAATTTAAGATTTAGAAATAACTTAACCCAATGGATTAACAGTATCTCTAAGGTTATATTCTGAAGATGAATGACCAAAGAGGATAAATGTTTAATTTAGAATTTTACTAGGGAGTAATGCTGAAAAAGAAGGTATGGAAAGGATTTTAGTAATAAATGTGAAATGTGATGAGAGAATTTATAAAAGGAAGGTTGATGAATAACTTTTAAAAGGGGAGTTAAAAGAACGTGAGGGAGTTTTGAATCTTCTAGTAAGTTAGCATATTTTAGCTTAGGTTTGTTAAATGTTATACCCTGTTTTTGCTCTGGGAAGTCGGGGGTGTGTGGGGAGGGGGGGTTGAAGGTTGTGTGGGGTTGAAATTGTAAAATTTTTAATAAAATAAAAAGATAGATAAGTGTATTAATAGAGAAGTAAGAAATGTGGGAGAAATGTTATAATAAATGAAATGATAATATTAAGATATGATAAATATTGGAGGAGTAAGAAGAAGACACAAAAGATGTACTTAGATGATACATTGAATGATTATGTATTGTTTGCTTGTTTATAAAATAAAAACTTTTTTTATAAAAAAAATTATTTAAATCAAGCCTTTTTACGAGTGATTTCAATCCCGATTTCAATCATGATTTCAATCGACTTGATTTAAATCAAAGCCACCCTGTTTCAAGGAGAGACTGGACTGCCACTTGTCAGAAATGGCATTGGGGGTGGGGTTGAGCAGGGGGTTGGACTAGATGACCTACAAGATCCCTTCCAACTCTGTTCTTATTCTAACTATGGCTCTCTCAAAATGCCTTAAAACTGCAGGCTGCAGAGGAGGAAGTAAAAAGCTGGATATATTCCCAACAGTTCCAGTTTCTTGGAAATGTGTTTTCACATTTGCAAATTATTCAATCACCGCAGGTAGCGGTATGTACCTCAATGGCTGCCAGGTTTAAGAATCACAGACAACACCTAACTTAGAGAGGAACAAAGGAGGAGAAGGGTGGGGTCTGAAGTGCTCTAATTAAACTTTCTTTTGTTACCCATTGTGTGTTGCCAATTGGGACTGCTTCAGGTTTTGCAAATTTAAGAGGAAGGTTGCACTGCCTTGCTTAATAAAATATTAAAGCACAGAAGCCTCATGAATGGATTTGTCCTCTATTCAATCTGCCGTATGCCGCAGACTAAATCTGGTGCACGTTAAATCCTTCTGTAAGCTACAAAATCCAACAAAGAGAAGAGACCAAAAATAAATAAATAAAATAAATACTAATAATAAATCCTCTTCGTTTAAAAACCCTCAAAACACCCGAGCGAGATTTCCTTCCTCTGTCTGGGAAGTCAGAATTTAATTTTTGGTTGCACCAGCAAAAAACAACAACAACAACAAAACACAGATATTGTGTGCAGATATTTCCAACATGGATGGCAAGAAGCAGGGAGGGAGAAGGGGAAAAATTGGATTTCAAGAGAGCTGGATGCGGTTTGGAAATCTGTTTGCGAAACAAAGTCCGCCTTTCCGATTCTGCCAGGAAAAAAATAACAACAAAACTTGGACAAACTTTGCTATTTCTTTTGTGCAAATTCCATGGGTTCAACCATAATTCTGATGGGGAAGCTAGTCCTGTAACTTAAGATCGCTTGTTTGACAACCGCTTAAGATACAACGGCACTGAAAAAGGGGACTTACGACCAGTCCTCGCATTTATGACTATCGCGGCATGCCACAGTCGCACGATCAAAATTCAGGGGCTTGGCGTGGATTTACAATGGTTACAGCATCCCAGGATGGCCAATTGCAATTCTTCCCAGCCAGCTTCTGTCAACGAAAGTCCACGGGGGAAGACAGATTCACTTAACAACCATGTGATTCACTTAACAACTTCAGTAATTCATCGAACAACTGTGGCAAAAAGGATGTAAGTCGGGGTGCGACGCAAATGTTTCTTTTCTTGGTCCACCTGCAATCCTTATGATAAAATAATCGGGTATGGCTAGTCTAGAGAGAAGAAGGACTAAAGGAGACATGATAGCAGGATTCCAGTATTTGAGGGGCTGCCACAAAGAAGGGGACATTAAATTATTCTCCAAAGCACAAGCGGGCAAGACAAGAAACAACGGATGGAAACTAATCAAGGAGAGAAGCAACCTGGAATTAAGGAGACACTTCCTAACAGTGAGAACAATTAACCAGCGGAACAGCTGGCCTCCAGATGTTGTGGGCACTCCAACACTGGAGGTTTTTAAGACGAGACTGAAATGCTTTAGGGTCTCCTGCTTGAGCAGGGGGTTGGACTAGAAGACCTCCAAGGTCCCTCCCAGCTCTATTCTGATTCATTCGTGTTATGCAACCTGTCTCAGGCATGCCCAAACCACAAGAATACACAACAAAGGTATTTAATCACCGATAGGTGATTAAAAAGGCATAATTGTATAAAATAATATTTTCACCATCTTAGAACTGCAAGTTCTTAGAACTGCAAGTTCTAAGTGGAGAAAAGATTTGGGGAGCATTTGGTGTTTGTGGGTGTTTTGCCTCTCTTTGAAGCCTCTAGACTCTGAACCGACCTGTTTTAAAAAAGCAAAATCACTGAATTTGAGAAAGGAGGAGACTGAACAGGCCAAAGCAGAAGCTTTACCCATCTTTCTTTGCAAAACAAACATTTGCAAAGAAAAACAAACATTTAGCCATGGATAAACCAAACTCAGATTGCAAAGGAGACTTCCTAGCCTAGCTAGCAGGAGCAGTGAGAAGAGAACCTAAAGGAAAGGACCAGGTGAAAGAAGAAAGAGAGAGAGAAGGAGGGAGGGAGGGAGGGAGAGAAAGAGAGAAAAAAGAAGAGTCAGAGAGAGAAAGAAAAAGAGCAACAAAGAAAAAGAGAGAGTGATAGAGAGAAAAAGAGAAAGAAAAAGAGAGACAAAGAGAGAAAGAGAGAGAAAAAAAGAGACAGAGAAAGAGAGAGAGACACAGAGACAGAGAGAAAGAGAGAAAAAGAGAAAGAAAAAGGGAGACAGAGAAAGAAAAAGACAGAGAAAGAGACAGAGAGACAGAGAAAGAAAAAAACAGAGCGAGACAGAGAGAGGAAAAAGAGAGAGATGGAGAGAGATGGAGAGAAAGAAAGAGAGAGAGAGAGAGACAGAGAGAGAAAAGAGAGAGAGAGACAGAGAGATGGAAAGAAAAAGAAAGAGAAAAAGAAAAAGAAAAAAGGGAGAGAGACACAGAGAGACAGAAAGAGAGAGAGACAGAGAGACAGAAAGAAAAAAAGAGGGAGAGACAGAGAAAGAAAGAAAAAAGAGAAACGGAGAGACAGAGAAAGAGACAGAGAAAGAAAAAACAGAGCGAGACAGAAAGAGGAAAAAAGAGAGAGATGGAGAGAAAGAAAGAGAGAGAGAGAGAGACAGACAGAGAGAGAGGAAAGAGAGAGAGAGACAGAGAGATGGAAAGAAAAGAGACAGAGAGATGTAGAGAAAGAAAGAGAGAGAGAGAGAAAGAGAAAGAGAGAGACAGAGAGAGAAAAGAGAGAGAGAGACAGAGAGATGGAAAGAAAAAGAGAGACAGAGAGAAAGAAAAAGAGAGAGACACACAGAGAGAGACAGAAAGAGAAAAAGAAAAAAGGGAGAGAGACACAGAGAGACAGAAAGAGAGAGAGACAGAGAGACAGAAAGAAAAAAAGAGGGAGAGACAGAGAAAGAAAGAAAGAAAAAAGAGAAACGGAGAGACAGAGAAAGAGAGAGAGAAAGAACGAACCGCGCCGGAAGGGAAGAAAAAGTTTGCAGCTCTTAAATGTCAATTGGGTTGATTTTTTTTAAAAAAACAACAACATTAAAGCTGTTTGTTTGTTTTAGCCGTCGCAACGGCAGGAAGCCCCGCTGCCCCTCCGACGCCGCCTGCCAAGGGCGCGGCTGCAGGCGGGGCAGAGCCTCCCCTCCTCGGGGCAGTCTATCTGGTGGGGCGGGAGAGACCCTCCCTCCGCCTTACCTTGGCCACCTGCTGCCGCAAGAGGCCGGGCAGGGTCTGCAGCAGGACCAGCCCGAAGCCCAGGCAGAAGAAGCCCAGCACGCCCAGCCCGGTCGCCGTCCCGTAGCGCTGCCCGCAGCCGCGCTTGCTGCTCTCGCCCCTCGCCATGGCCGGCCTGCCAGCCCCGCCGCTGCCTCTGCCGCTGCTGCGCTCCGTGCCATGCCCGCCGCGGGGGCTCTTGACGGGCGCCGCTGCCCGCCCCGCCACTCCCCGCCCGGCGCTCCAGCCAACGGCAGCCGAGGGAGGCGCCCGGCTGGGCTTGGCGTCGCCCCCGGGGCCGCCTGCACCCAGGAGGGAAGAGGGTCGGAGCGAGGGAGGGAGGGGACGGCCGGCCCTGCTGCCACGTCTCGCCTGGCACCTCGGAGGCTGCAGCGGGGAGCGGGTCTCGCGCTGGCAGGGGAGGGAGGGAAGAGCGTGAATGTGGAAGGAAGGAAAGAAAGGAGGAAGGTGAATGGAGAGGAAGGAATGAGTTGAGGATGAGAGGAAGGGAAGACAGAAGGAGTGGGGATGGATGGAAGCAGGCAGGCAGGCAGGCAGGCAAATGAGAGGGAAGGGAGGGAAGAGTGGGGAAGAGGAAAGAGGGTGAATGTGGAAGGAAGGAAGGAAAGGAGAAAGGTGAATGGAGAGGAAGGAAAGAGAAGGAATGAGTTGATGAGAGGAAGAGAAGACAGAAGGAGTTGGGGATGGATGGAAGCAGGCAGGCAGGCAAATGAGGGAAGGGAGGGAAGACTGGGAAAGAGGGTGAATGTGGAAGGAAGGAAGGAAAGAAAGGAGGAAGGTGAATGGAGAGGAAGGAAATAGAAGGAATGAGTTGAGGATGAGAGGAAGGGAAGAAGGAAGGAGTTGGGGATGGATGGAAGCAGGCAAATGAGGGGGAAGACTGGGGAAGAGGAAAGAGGGTGAATGTGGAAGGAAGGGAAGGAATTGGGGATGGAAGGGAAGAAGGAAGGTGAATGGGGAGGGAGGAAAGAAGGAATGGGAAGGAAGGAGTTGCAGGTGAGAGGAAGGAAAGAAGGAATGATTTGGGGATGGAAGAGAAGGAGGAAAGAAGGAATGAGGAGTTGGGTATGAAGAAGGAAAGAAGGAAGGGGTTGGGAATGGATGGAAGGCAGGCAGGCAAATGAGAGGGGAGGGAAGAAAGAAGGAATGGAAAGGAAGGAGTTGCGGATGAGAGGAAGGAAGGAAAGAAGGAATTGGGGATGGAAGGCAAGAAGGAAGTTGGGAATGAGAGGAAGAAAGGAGTTGGGGATGGAAGGGAAGAAGGAAGGCGTTGGGAATGGATGGAAGACAGGCAAATGAGAGGACAGGGAGGAAAGAAGGGAATGAGGAGGGAGTTGGGGATGAGAAGGAAAGGAAGGAGTTGGAAATGGATGGAAGGAGGAATGAAGGAAAAGAGGGCAGAGTGCCTTTTCAGACTGTCCCATCACAGCTCAGCCATGAGAAGCCCCATCCCTTTCCGACTCCATCTGGCACTTCCAGGCGCGGTGCAGGTTTGAACCCATGGGAGATGTGGTTCTGTCCAGCAGGGATTGATTGGGGCTCCTCTCCAAGGAATCGGTCAGCACAATTCCCCTTCTATCAGCCGAAAACTGACTAGGTTAAGGTCACCAGGGACGCTGGCAAATGTGAATGTTTAAACTAGTTGCGACAGATCAGCGGTGAACTTGGTTTTTCTTGCAAATGTTTTGTGACCCAAGTAGGGAACATCATCAGTGCTAGAGAAGGGAATGGGATGTACAGGGACTGCGTATTCCCGGTGCTGAGCTTGGTGGTTTCTTTCAGATGTTTCATTGCAAAATAAACCACATCAGGGCTGCGAGGGTGTTGTTCATGGAGGCGGCTGTGTGGAACCTGGGTGCTCTCCGAGCTTGGTGGTTTCACAGGTGCTTATGAGACTAGGTAATCTCCATACAGGTTACTCAGTACGTGTTATCTCGTGATATCCATTATAGGAAATAGATTTATTGGCCAAGTGTGATTGGCACACAAGGAATTTGTCTTTGGTGCATAAGCCCTCAGTGTAAGGCTGGAATGTTTCAATAAAAGTTTACATTCAATGGAAGGCTGGGATGTTTTCAAATGCAAAGGAAACCTAGATTCTTTACCCTTCAACTGCATTAAGTCACCCAAGCCCTCAAAATTAACAGTAGTGCCAGATAGTCTTACCACCTTCTACCTTTTCTGCAATATGCTAGATAATGTAGAGTATCTTAAGTCTCTGGGGCTGAAGCAAAGGCCTTCAGGCCTTGTTATTTTATATTTAATCGCAATTTCCGAGTCATGATTTACTTGCTTAGCATAAGTGACTAACATCCTTTGCAAAGCTCTGACAAAGCATCTTAAATCTAACCACCTTCGCTCAAGTGTTTGCCTCGTTTTGTAAATGAGCATTTTCATTCCACCTCTTGGCTGTACGCTGTTAATACTTTGCACACAACAATTCAAAGAATTCGCAGACAATTGGGAATCCCAACAGCTTTATTGAAACAAAGTGCAGTGAAGTTTACTTCAACAGTTGTAAGCAAGCAGAAAGTTTAAAAACCACCCCTCAGACGCAGGACCAGGTGGAGGGTGGACTCCTTCTGGATGTTGTAGTCAGAGAGGGTACGGCCATCTTCCAGCTGTTTGCCAGCAAAGATCAGCCTCTGCTGATCGGGAGGAATGCCTTCCTTGTCCTGGATCTTGGCCTTGACATTCTCGATGGTGTCACTGGGTTCCACTTCCAGGGTGATGGTTTTTCCGGTCAAGGTCTTGACAAAGATCTGCATGCCGCCCCTCAGACGCAGGACCAGGTGGAGAGTGGACTCCTTCTGGATGTTGTAGTCTGAGAGAGTGCGGCCATCTTCCAATTGCTTCCCAGCAAAGATCAGCCTCTGCTGGTCGGGAGGGATGCCTTCCTTGTCCTGGATCTTGGCCTTGACATTCTCGATGGTGTCACTGGGTTCCACTTCCAGGGTGATGGTTTTTCCGGTCAAGGTCTTGACAAAGATCTGCATGCCACCCCTCAGACGCAGGACCAGGTGGAGAGTGGACTCCTTCTGGATGTTGTAGTCAGAGAGGGTGCGGCCATCTTCCAGCTGTTTGCCAGCAAAGATCAGCCTCTGCTGATCGGGAGGAATGCCTTCCTTGTCTTGGATTTTGGCCTTGACATTCTCGATGGTGTCACTGGGTTCCACTTCCAGGGTGATGGTTTTTCCGGTCAAGGTCTTCACAAAGATCTGCATGCCGCCCCTCAGACGCAGGACCAGGTGGAGAGTGGACTCCTTCTGGATGTTGTAGTCAGAGAGGGTGCGGCCATCTTCCAGCTGTTTGCCAGCAAAGATCAGCCTCTGCTGGTCGGGAGGAATGCCTTCCTTGTCCTGGATCTTGGCCTTGACGTTTTCAATGGTGTCACTGGGCTCCACCTCAAGTGTTATGGTTTTTCCGGTCAAGGTCTTGACAAAGATTTGCATGCCACCCCTCAGACGGAGGACCAGGTGGAGAGTGGACTCCTTCTGGATGTTGTAGTCAGAGAGGGTGCGGCCGTCTTCCAGCTGTTTGCCAGCAAAGATCAGCCTCTGCTGGTCGGGAGGGATGCCTTCCTTGTCTTGGATCTTGGCCTTGACATTCTCGATGGTGTCACTGGGCTCCACCTCTAGGGTGATGGTTTTCCCGGTCAAGGTCTTCACAAAGATCTGCATTTTCTCTGCAACAGGGAAGGAGGGGAAACAGGGACAGGAAACCACATCAATCCAGTTAGCAACTCTCTCAATTGTGCTTAAAGAGCTCCTTTTTCAATGTCAAGGTGCAACTGCTAAGATTTGATCTAAACCAGGCGTCTCCAAACTTGGCAACTTGTAAAACTTCTGGCTGGCTGAGGAATTCCGGGAATTGAATCCCACAAGTCTTAAAAGTGGCCAGGTTTGGGAGGATCCTGGATTTAAAAATAAGGAAAACTCCACCACAGGACCTCCACGCTACTTTTCTTACTGTACAATCCCCAGGATTCATACTGCTGGAGCTGGACCACCCCCGCCAAACCCATTAAACCAATGAATTTACCCAGCAGGAATGCTGTCTAGTCTATGGAGGCTACATGTTCTTTCATGAAGAGGTCCTGGAAAAGGAACCTCCGCCTTCCAAAAATGGCCTCCTGGCTTTTCCAGCAGGTCGCCGAGGCCACGACTAGATGACCTTCGCAACCCCTCCTCCCACCCTGCTTTTACGCCCAAGGGAGCCTTTCTGAGGTGCATTGCCCCGCCCCAAAGGTCCATGGGGAGAGGGGCTGCAGCCCCAACCGCCTCCCGGCCTCCTTTACCCACTTACTTCGCTTCTGGAACCAAGTATCAAAAGAGCAGAGCTAGAGAAAGTGCGCGTGCGCAGTGGATGCTTTTGTTGGGGGGCGGAGTTACGCGAGCGCGACGTCAGAATGGAGACGTCACAAGAGAGTGGGCGGAGCCTCGCTGGTTCTCCCTTCCCTGTCCAGCTTCCGGGGCGGCCATTTTGGGTCGCGGCTGAATAAGCCGTTGGGGCCTCCCCCCCACCCTCCCTCCTCTCCGTTTTAATTAAAAATAGCCCTTTTCGTCCCTCAGCCAAAGCCGCCGCGAAGGGGCAACCTGTGAAAACCCGCGCATCCCGCCTACACGGTTTCTGTCCCCCTCAGAAACGAAGCTCCCCCCCAATTTTCAAAATTAGCCTCATTCAAGGAAAGCTAACCCTCCCTCAGACCGAATTTAACACAAACGTACAGAAAAAATACCACTATAAGACATAAAAGTAACAATAAAGGCTTACGGCGGAGCGCGAGTGGGCCCTAGCAGACAGCAACAAATTCACACAAGCAAGAGGCGACTAGGTCTAACTGCGTACACAGCCGCGGCGGCCTTTTATATAGGCGTCGCACATGGATCCCTCCGCAACAGAAAAGGAGGGATTATTTTTCGTTCGCGCGCACGCGGCCTCCCGTTAGCCAATAGGGATGCGGGAAGTCAGAAGGGGCGTTGCGCAGGGAGTCCGCCCCGCCTTCTGTGGAATGGAGCAACGGAAGGATAAAAAGTTCGAAGCTCGGTGAATATCCTAAAGACGGTTGAATGGAAGAGAGAATCGGCTGGAACGAAAACCTGGAGTGGATTTCTTGGCTAAGACGGAATGGACGGATAGGAAAAAAGGAAAGGAAAATAAAGAGTTAAAGCCAATTGCAGGATTTCTGATATTTTCTCAACCTTGGCCAATTGCTTAAGAGGGATGGACTTCAACTCCCAGAATTCCCCCATGCCGCTGGAGGAACAACATTTGCTGGCTAGGGAATTCTGGGAATGGAAGCCTCTTAAAATGGGGGTTTGGAGAAAGTGGCTTCATTTGGGCAAAATTGCAACCTGCCCAACTTCCTTTCTCCAGCAAGGCCAGAATTTTTGCATCAACCGAGTCTGCAAAAGGGGGTTGCCCCCACCTGCAATTGCAATATTTTCTGCTTAAATCTTCCTTGGAGGGTCCTGTTGCTCATTCATCCATGCTAACAAACAAACAAACACAGAGAGAGAGAGAGAGAGAGAGAGAAAAAGGAAGGAAGAGAAGGAAGGAAGGAAAGAAAGGAAGGAAAGAAGGAAAGAAAGAAAGAAAGAAAGAAAGAAAGAAAGAAAAAGAAAGAAGAAAGAAAGAAAGAAAGAAAGAAAGCTGAACGATCCCAACAGCCTCCCGGGATTTTTTGCAAAGGAAAAATGCCTTTGCTTTTAAAAAAATAAAAATTAAGTTAGGAAAAAAAAAACTTAAGGCCTCCCCGTCGGGGAATCGAACCCCGGTCTCCCGCGTGACAGGCGGGGATACTTACCACTATACTAACGAGGAGGAGCCCTGCCAAGCCTTTCCAGTCGCCCTTCTTGGAGGTAATGCAGAGTTAATGTCTAAATCACTTTAAGCCACCAGGCCTCTTTTCCCATGTTTCCAAGGCAAGAAATCTTGTTTTGTTGCAAGATTAAAAGAGACTCATGAAGACACTCAGGTGAACCTTCCTGGGAAGCAGCATCAGCAGCTCATGTAAACCCCCAAAGTGCTTTTTCAGGAGGCAACTGGACTGACTTCTTTCTTTTTGAAGACGTTTCGCTTCTCATCCAAGAAGCTTCTTCTGCTCTGACTTGGATGGTGGGGAATGGAAGGATTTATCCCCCTTGCAGACAGATGGTCATTTGCATCCTTTGAGAGAGTCCTCGAAGCACTTGGAGGTTTCTCTGTGTCCTCAGGGCCACCTAAATAGTGCAAATGGTTCCTGTAGTCTGCCTTTTTTTCTCTCTCTGGAAATCCATTCCTACTCCCACACCATTCCAAGCGTCTTCATCCCAAATTGTATGCTAAAAGTCTGCAGAGATTCTCAGTCATCCAGGTCAAAGGTGCTTTTTCAAGAGGCCACTGGACTTTCTTGTTTTTTTTCTTTGAAGACGTTTCGCTTCTCATCCAAGAAGCTTCATCAGCTCTGACAGGGTGGTGGGGAATGGAAGGGTTCATCTCTAGACCGCTGATCATTGCAGACTGCACTACTCAAGTGACCCTGAGGACATAGAAGGATTTGCAAGTGGCCTCAAGGACCCTCTCAAAGGATGCAAACGACCAGCTGCCTGCAAGGAATATCAATCCTTCCATTCCCCACCATCCAAGTCAGAGCGGAAGAAGCTTCTTGGATGAGAAGCGAAACGTCTTCAAAGGAAAAAAAACAAGAAAGTCCAGTTGCCTTCTGAAAAAAATAAAGGACCTTTGGGGACAACCATGACCTGGATGACTGAGAATCTCTACAAACTTTCAGCCCATGTAACTTTGCAAGCTTTGCAAAACACACTAACACAAACTCAGCTGAAAGAAGGATGGACTCCTGCCCCCCCCCCTTTTTTTTGCTTCTTTTCAAGGGTGCCGCATAAAAAGAAGGGATTTTGTAACATAACATACATTCGTCTCCCCCCCCCCCCCCAAAAGAAAAAGAATCTGCCGAAACCCGGGATCGAACCAGGGACCTTTAGATCTTCAGTCTAACGCTCTCCCAACTGAGCTATTTCGGCTGATGTCATCCTTGCTCTTCGTTCTCCCCTTCAAGAGAGGGCAGACGACTCCCCCCCCTTTTTTTTTGCAAATTGCAATCTAACCCAATGCATTAACTCCCCACTTTTCTTCAGTAGGGGCATTTGCCCTCCTGGCCCACCCTGAAGCCCTCTGCCTTTAGCAATGGGAAAGGGGGGTTTAGATTAGCCTCCCTCCCGGTCTGGCCAGCTGGGGGGTGATGGTGGGGGGCAGAAATCCTGTTGGCAGAGTTACATGGTTAGGGTGTTTATTGTTTTTTAAACATTTAATTCATATAGTTTAATGTTTTTAAACATTGTGTCTGTTTTATTATAAGCCGCCTCGTGTCCCCTGCGTGAGATGGTGAGGTGTATCAAAGGAATGAGTGAGTGAATGAATGAATAATGAATGAATGAGGAAAGAGGCAAAAGTCAGAGAATCCAATTAAGGAGGAAAAAACTCTGCTTTACTGGAGTGGAATGAACGGAAAAGAAAGCATGTGGTGGTTTGGGTGGGTTTGTTTTTGGGTGGGTGGGTGGGGGATTTATTTTATTGAAAAGAAAAAAATTTGAACCTCCCCGTCGGGGAATCGAACCCCGGTCTCCCGCGTGACAGGCGGGGATACTTACCACTATACTAACGAGGAAGGACTCGGGCGCTGCTTTCCGAAACAGGCCAGTTAAACCGGGCACGTGCTGATCCCAAGCTCCTTCCTTCCTTCCTTCCTTCTTTCTTCCTGCATCTATCTTCATCCTTCCTTCTTCTCTTCTTCTAAGCTGCTTAAACAGGACGGAATTCGGGTGGATGAAGACCGGATCATCTAGCAGTGGCGTCTAATGTGGGGGGGGGGGGGGGGGAGAAGGGTGGAGGGCAGAAATAGGAAAAGAAAGAATTAAAAAACTCCCATCTAGTGCAAACCAACAGCAACTGCATCTACGCAGCTAAAAGTCCTCTGTAAAGGTTTTGTGATTTTTATAATATTATCTACTGATCATATTATGTTAGTTTATGATACCTATTGGTAAACCAGCAATGATTACTCTTAACATACAAGGAATGTTTTCCTTTCTTCCTTCCCTCCTTCCTCCCTCTATTCCTTTTTTCTTTTCCTTCCTTCCCTCCCTCCCCTATTCCTCCCTCTCTCCTTCCTTCCTTCCCTCTATTCCTCCCTCCCTCTAGTCTTTCTTTCCTTCCTTCTATTCTTTTTCTCCTTCCTTCCTTCCCCTATTCCTTCCTCCCATTCATTCTTTTTCCTTCCTTCCCTCCCTCTCTCCCCTATCCTCCTCTCTCCTTCCTTCCTTCCCTCCCCTATTCCTCCCTCCCTCTGGTCTTTCTTTCCTTCTTTCCTTCCTTCCCTCTATTTTTTCTTTCCTTCCTTCCCTCCCTCCTCTATTCCTCCCTCCCTCTACTTTCTTCCATTCATTCTTTTTCCTTCCCTTCCCTCCTCCTTCTATCCTTCCCTTATTCCTCTTTCTTTCTTTCTTTCTTTCTTTCCTTCCTTCCTTCCTCCCTCCCTCTTCCCACATCTATCTTCATCCTTCCTTCCTTTCCTCCTCCCTGCCTCCCTCTTATTTCTTTCTCATAAAACAAAATCCTAAATTAAAAATGCACAGCTTGCTTTGGGTTTCCTGCTCCCCAAAGAGGAAGAGAGCCCTCCCAAAGCAGCCCCAAATCCTGGATTCCCCCAAAAGTTGCAGCTCTACCTGAATAGCCTTCCTCTCCCAAATAAAGAGACCCCCAAAATGGGGGGTGTAGGAGAAGATCTGCACTCACAGGGAGAAACGCCTCCCCCCCTTCCCTGTGTGGGTCACAGCCTCAAGGTTTAGGATCAGAGTGAGGGGGAGGCTCTTCTGCCTGCATGGAAAACAATTGGAGGTCAAAAGAAGGGGGAAAAGAGAATATTTTTTGGAAGGGAAAAAAAGGGGGGGGAAACAATTGAATAGCTTTGTATTTCCCGCTGGAAGGCTCTGTTCCGGGAAGGGGATGTAGCTCAGTGGTAGAGCGCATGCTTTGCATGTATGAGGCCCCGGGTTCAATCCCCGGCATCTCCACGTTTTTTCCCCCGTTCACTGTTTGCAATACAGGTACTCCTCGAGTTACGACCACACCTTTCTGTTCGTCCTGTATTTGTTGTTAAGCGAGACATTGAATAAACTCGAGTTTTGTCCCATTTTACGACCTTCCTTGCCTCCGTTGTTAAGTGAATCCTTGCCGTGGATAAGTTAGGAACCCGGTTTTGAAGTGAATCTGGCTTCCCCATTCACTTTTGCTTTTATCACAAAAGGGGATCCTGTGATCTTGGGGACACAGCAACAACGGTCATAAAGTGAATCAGCTGCCAAGCGTCTGCATTTTGACCCCGTGAACATGGGGATGGCGCAAACGTAACTGTAAGTGTAACGCCTAACACTTTTTAAAATGTTTTTAATTGTCTGTTATTGTTTTTAATCATGGGCCCAAATTTATATATATCTTTTTAATTGTATTTTAATGTTTGTAGTTTATGTTTTTACTTGGCTGTTCACCGCCCTGAGTCCTCAGGGAGAAGGGCAGTATACAAATTTAAAAATAAATAAATAAATAAACTGTGAAAAATGGTCGTCACTTTTTTCGGTGCCGTTGTAACTTTGAATGGTCACTAAATGAACCGTTGAATAAATGAACTAAGTGAATGTAGAATCCCAGGGCTGGAAGGAGCCTTGGAGGTCATCTAGTCCAACCCGCTGCCCAAGACAGAAGTTCTTACACCATCCAGGATAAATGAATGTCCAATATTCATCCAATTTTTTTCTTGGGCATCCCATTATAGGTAGTTCTTGACTTAGCACTGGTTTAGTGACTGCTCAAATTACAACAGTGCTGAAAAGTGACTTACGACCGATCCTTGCACTTACGACCGTTGCAGCATTCCCCACATTCATGGGATCAAAATTTGGGCATTTGGCAACCGGCATGTATTTACGATGGTGCAGCATGCCAGAGTCAAGGGATCTAGTTACAGATACAGATTAACAAGAGTTGGAAGGGACCTTGTAGGTCATCTAGTCCAACCCCCCCGCCCAAGCAGGAGACCCTACACCATTTCTGACAGATGGGCAGTCCAGTCTCTTCTTGAAAGCTTCCAAGGATGAAGGTCCCGCAACTTTGAAGGCAATTTGCAAATTGCCATTTGCAACCTTCCCAGCAGCTTTTGGTCAATGGGGGAAAAGCTGGGTTTGCTTAACGACGTGATTCTCTTTGACCACTGCAGTGCCCCGTTGAATAACGGTGGCAAAGAAGTTGTAAAATCGGACGTGGCTTGCTTTGTGACAGCATTGCTTAGCAACGAAAATTCTGGTTTTTACGATGGTGGCAGAATCCGTGATTGCCAGCAATGTCAATGAATGAATATGTAACACCTTTGATTGTTGATTTTCAAAATGATTACTATAGAGGATTTTTAAGGCCAGAAGAGATACAGAAAAATCCCCTTATATTTGAAAATTTGTTTCTTTCTTTTTCCTTTTTGCAAGAGGCACTGGATATCACCCAAATCCATTCTACTTCATTCTTCCCAACTGGATGATGAAATTCAAAAACTTGGAGTTGTTCCGGTGGACATTTTCACAACTCCAAGTGGTGTGGAGACAATAACTTGGTCCTTAACTCCAATAAGACCAAGGAGCTTATAGTGGACTATAGAAGGAATATGTGAGATTTAAAAAAACAGCAAAACCTCATAAAAAGTGAAACAGAGACCATGAACAAGTAAAAAGCAGATTTATTATAGATATATAAATATATACTATATATCTTAAGCTTTTGCAAAAGACTTCTCCCATGAAAGAGAGAGAATGTCTTATCACTCCAGTTACATGATTTAAGTACAGTTTCAGACGATCAGCAAAACAATTCGAACCAGATATTGTTTTCGGTTGTTACATAACATTTTGGCTTTCTCACATGTTCCACCCTGGAGTTCCCCTCCAAAAGTACCCTCTAAAAATGTATTCATAATTGTTCGTTATTGTTCTTATTAATTGGACACTTAAGTCTTTTCCTCCTTTTTCAATGGAGCTTGGGTCAGCCTGACCCAATTTAGAATGGACCAAAACATCTGTTTCCTTAAAACAGGCGTCATACACGCTTCCCTTTTCTACATATCTTACTCGGCTTAATAGCTGAGGTTCAGGTTATGTAAAGGGTAAATATGGAGTCACTTAGGCTATATTCTTTACAGGAATAATTCTTTTTCTCTCAATCCTCCCTTTTTCTTTTTATCAGTTTTATTCCTGTAAATCATCATGTATGCTTTGTAACATAAATACTTTCTGTCTCGCTCTTGATTCTTCAGTTGTTTTCTTTGGTTTAGTTACCTGATAACAAGACTTCCAACAGTTTCAACGTACAGGTGCACATTTGATACAGATACAGTGACATACTGGAGTATTCCCTTTCTTGGTATTTATTTCTACAAAACTTGGAATAAGTGTAGTTAGTTGTCTGGTTGAGACGTATAAAGGGCGTGTACTCTTCTAAACCTTTATGTTTGCAGCTCAGAGTGTTTGTGTGAACCAACCTATTGGGATGTATATGTAAGCCGGGTTTGTGGAAGAAAACATAACTACTATGACTTAGCCAAAAAACAAACCATGATTAAAGTAAATGCCGCTTAATGGAATGTGAATACAATCCAGGGATTTTCAAACTTTGCCAGCTGGGGGAATTCTGGGAATTGAAGTCCAAACCTCTTGAAAGGTGCTCAGGTTGAGAAATATTGGATGATTTCCAGCAGCCATAGAGTCTGTTCTCGAGAGAAGCCAGACCCTGGGGCCAGGGGAGAAATGCTCCCAGATCGGACTGGATCGCCCGATCCGGTAGCGATCTTGGCTGGTGGTTTGGGGGATCTGGTAGCGATGGCGAAGCAAAGCTCCGCCCACCCGCCTGGGTGTCATTACTTCCTGGTTTTAACCAGGAAGTAGTGCATTTTTTACCTTTTGCACATGCGCAGGTCTGCGTGCACATGTGCAGAAGGTCTGCATGCACATGTGATGTGTACGCGTGCTTCCGAACCAGTAAGGAAGGTAAGTAGATTTCACCCCTGCCTGGGGCATTCTGGGAGTTGAAGTCTTAAAGCTCTCCAGGTTGAGAAACACTGAATTTCCCTTGTACGAAAGGATATGCATTGATTCTTTCGCTGGACAGCTGTTGCATTCAGCCCAACCAAAAACATCTGCACGATTATTATTATTTTTTGCAGGTCACAAATGTCACACGTGTCGCTCCTTTGGATGACAAATGAAGAAAGTTTAACCTTTCTCCTCTTTCTTTGTGCAATTACGGATCTTGCTTTTCCCAGGAAAATCTTCATGGAATTTTTGGTAGGAATTGCAAACTGGAGAGTTCCTGGCTTAAAAATTCACCACCATCAATGCACCGGAGGCCACATTTTAGCAATTTCCTCGTGGGTAACTTCCGGAACCCACTGGCAATATTCAGCCAATAAATCTGAAATGAGAAGATTAAAATTGGAGAAAGGAGTGACCCGTCAGCCTGCTGTGATTAAAAGTTTCAATTCATGAATTTAGCTTGCGATTGTGATTCCCAACTACCGCAGGTTATAAAACCTTATGTGTCTTTAGTGGCAGAATTAAGTACAATTAAAAAAAGAAACAACTCTAAAAAATTAAAATCTTGGACCTCTTGAATTGCTTACATTTTGGATTTTTCTCCCAGGCCAGCTGCAAAGTATCTCGGTTATCAGCATTTTCCGAAACGAGCGCTTGAAGCAAAGATTCAGTCCTGGGCTGAAGTCTATAAGGAACAGCAAGCAAAAGATTGAATCCAGAGGGATAAATAAAACCAAACTTTTGATCAATCGGTGTGCGGCAGCAGCCAAAAAAGCTAATACAATCCCTGGTTGAATAAACAGAGGCTTAGAATCAAAATCAAGTGAAGTATTACCACTATGTTTCCCCGAAAATAAGACCGTCTTATATTTTTTTTGAACCCCGAAATAAGCCTTGGCCTTATATTCGGGGAGGTCTTATTATTTTGGGGCGCATGGAGCAAGATGGGGCTTCTCTTGCTGTGTTACCTGATTTCCAGCTCTGCATTTAAATATTTTCAGGTAGGGCTTATTTTCGGAAGGGGGGAAGTTATTTTACTGCATGCGGTCAAAGGATAGCTCAACAGACTAAGCACTGTAATTTAACACCAGCTGTCTGCGCCTGGTGCCAGCAGACTAATAGCCTGTTATTATCATTCAGCTGCCTGCAATTACTGCAAGTTCGAATCTCCCCAGGCTCAAGGTGACTCAGCCTTCTTTTCTAAGGTAGGTAAAATGAGGAACCAGTTATCAATAAGCTGACTTTGTATAAATATACAAAAGTATGAAGGCTATTGCTTAGGCATTGTAAGCCGCCCTGAGTCCCAGAGAAGGCAGCGGCATTATAAATCAAATTACAATTACAAAACGATGATGAGACTTTGGAAAAAGTGCAGAGAAGAGCAACTAAGATGATTAAAGGCCTGGAGGCTAAAAATACGAAGAACGGTTGCAGGAATTGGTTGGCTAGTCTGGAGAAAAGAAGGACTAGGGGGACAGATAGCAGTGTTCCAATATCTCAGGGGCTGCCACAAAGAAGAGGGAATCAAATTATTCTCCAAAGCACCTGAAGGCAGGACAAGAAGCAACGGATGGAAACTAATCAAGGAGAGAAGCAACCTGGAATTAAGGAGGAACTTCCCAACAGTGAGGACAATTAACCAGTGGAACAGCTTGCCACCAGAAGTTGTGGGTGCTCCAACACTGGACGTTCTTAAGAAGAGACTGGACAGTCACTTGTCTGAAATGGTATAGGACCGTGATGGTGAACCTATGGCAAACATACCACAGCTGGCATGAAGAGCCCTTTCTGTGGTCACATGAGCCGTCGGCCAGCTCAGTTCCACCACCTATGCGCACCTCCCGCTGGCTGATTTTCGGGATGCGCGGGGTGCATGCAGGAGATGCGTGTGCATGCATAGGGGGTTGTGGGTGCATGCGGAGGGCGGGGGAGCGGCATGCCCCCCCCCCACCCCCATTTTTGGGCCCAGGAGGCCTGCTAGGCCAAAAATGGGGGGCGGGGTTGGGGTCGCATGTGCAGGGGGGGTGGGGTCACACATGCATTAGCGGGGGGTGGGTCATGCCTGCATGAGCAGTGGGGCATGCATTGCCTTATGGGTGCGCACTGTCGCGTACACATGCTTTCAGCACACAAGAAAAGGGTTAGCCATCACTGGTATGGGATCTGCTGCTTGAGAGCAGGGGGCTGGACTAGAAGACCTCCAAGGTCCCTTCCCAGCTGTATTCTGATTCTATCGAAGGTAAGCATGGGAGCAAATGTAACTGGTCCTAAGACTGACTTTCTGGTGTGGACAGGGCGATAGATACACAATTTTCAAAGCCCATAAACAAGAAGAGGAGAAATAGTTCACAACCAGGGGTGAAATGCTCCCGGTTCGGACCGGATTGCCCAATCCGGTAGCGATGGAGGCGGGTGGTTCGGGGAACCGGTAGCAAAAATCCCTGCCCCGCTCCCCACCCCCAATGTCCAGCTGAGCCGCGCAATCATCAGAGGCTTTTTTTCTTTTAAATACCTCTGACGATCCAAGCTGAGTTGCCTGATCGGCAGAGGCTTTTTTTGTTTTAAATGCCTCTGACGATCCAAGCTGAGTTGCCTGATTGGCAGAGGCTTTTTTTCTTTTAAATGCCTCTGACGATCCAGGCTGAGTTGCCTGATTGGCAGAGGCTTTTTTTGTTTTAAATGCCTCTGACGATCCAAGCTGAGCCGCGCAATCAGCAGAGGCTTTTTTTCTTTTAAATGCCTCTGACGATCCAAGCTGAGTTGCTTGATCGGCAGAGGCTTTTTTTCTTTTAAATGTCTCTGACGATCCAAGCTGAGTTGCCTGATCGGCAGAGGCTTTTTTAAAAACCCTCTGCCGATCAGGCAACTCTGCTGGGATCGTCAGAGCCTTTTGAAAGCATTTTTTAACCACCTCTTTGCTGAAGATGGTTTTAAAAGTAAAAAAATAAAATAAAATTGGCCATGCCCACCCAGTCACATTACCCCCCCCCCCAACCAAGCCTCGCCCACAGAACCGGTAGTAAGAAATTTTAGATTTCACCACTGGGGTCAACCTACTTGGACCAGGCCTTTAACATCGTGACTGGACTCGACAGCAGGCAACGGCTGTAAGTCGCCAACAATTTCACAACCTAGGGGAAAAAAAAAAGAGTGCCACTGGATTAATCTCCTTAATTGTGAAGTCAACACCCTGAAGAGTTTTTTCAATCAAAGATCAACTTTTTAATCGGTTGCATTTATATCCAAGTAAACGCAGTCTCCAAAAAATGGATTTTTAAAAAAATTCTAAAGGAAATTAGTGGCCTTCTAGTTATTGCTGGATTACCACTCCCATGTGGAGCTAATTTGGCTACTGCTGGGAGGAGAACATGGTATTTGTAGTCGAATGCAGTTAACTGGCGGGCCCGAAGGTTGGGGAAAATGCTTAAAATTCAGTGGAAGTCTGAAACAGCAGCAGATCATGGGGGAAATACGGACGTCCTCCATTTATGGCGATTTATTCAGCGACCATTCAAAGTTACGATGGTGCTGAAAACTGACTTGCGACCAATCCTCACTCTTATGACTGCCTTTATGACAGTTGCAGCTGTCCTGAGGTCACATGATCGCCATTCCCAGATTCGTTTAATGACCGCAGCAGAAAGCTCGTAAAATTGGGTGCAATGTATGATGACTCACTTAAAGGGTTGCATCGTTTAGCGACCTAAGTTCCGGTTTCAACTGTGGTCGTAAGCCGAGGACTGACTGTAAAAAGACGCAGGCAACTCACCTTTCCTTCCAGGAGAAACCTGGCAAAATGTTTGAAGCGATCAAGGCCTTCGGGATAATTCACCTCCACGGCTGGAAGGGGCCAACCAACCCGATCTGTTAGGAAGAGAAGGGAGCGGAGCGAATATACGGGTGGTCCTCGACTTATAACGATTCGTTTAGTGACCGTCCGAAGTTAGAATTATTTCCATAGCAAGGAAGATAAAAGCAGGAATGATTATAAATCGATTCAATTTATTCAAAGAGGAACATATATTCCCATTTGGATACTATTTCTGGATGTTGTGCTTGTGATGAAGAAAAAAAAAAGAAATGAAACGTTGACTTTGGTTTTGTGGATCAGAAAGATTTGTCCTTATAGAAATGGCTAGTTATATATTTATGCGTAAAAGCAAATAAGTTGAGGCTGGAGTGTTTTTTTATCTGTGCTAAGAAGAGTCGGAAGTCAATGCCTTTTTTTTTCTTTTTTTTGTATCTCACACCCCCTTTTCATAGCCCCTTTTCCTTTCCTTAATTTCCTATTTTTATTTTATTTTTTGTATTTTATATAATAAAACTGCTGAACAAAACTCCGCACTGGCGACAGGAAGGGCCATTCAAACACTCCGCTAGCTCCATTCAGTTGCCCAGATTCCACCCCGCAAGGGATTATGGGGTCGTTAAACGAAGATGACGATTTTATATAATAAAACAAAATAATAACAATAAAAACAACTTAATCGCTACGGGAATTAGCTTCACAAGTCGTACCATGGGGCAAAATTCATTTAACAACTATCATTATTAACAACACAAATTTTGGGCTGACTTGTGGTCCTAAGTTGAGAAGTACCTGCACAATAATATAGAAAGTGGTTGTGAGGCACCCAAGCAGGATTTGCCCAAAGTTAACGGACTCACAACTGAGCTCCTGGTTTTTTTGGAGAAAAGAAAGATAATTTTATTTCCTAGCAAACTTACAGAAGACGCTGGGCCTGTGGCAACGGACCTGGCCTGTTTCGGGGCAGTAAAATGGAGGCGGCTCTTCCAGAGGCTTTTCAAAATGGCAGTAGGGGGGCAGGAGAAGAGGGATCCACTCAGGTTCGATCGCCGAAACCCCTTCAGAAGGGACACACAACCCAGAAAATAAAAATGGGGAGAAAGCGGGAGTTTAGCTTGGCTAAAAAGTGACATCATACAAATTATAATTTCCTAAGCCAATATGTTTGCACGTTGCCTTCTGATCCTTTTCCTCTCTCCTCTGGTCTAGATTCTTTTCTTTAAAAAAAAAAGTTTTTTAAAAAAAACAGAAGGCAAGGAAAACAGGCGCCTGCTCACCTTTCATATACATCTTGGTGGTTTCAACGATTTCCTGATACACCACAAACTCCGGGAGCTGCTTAAACAGGACGGAATTGGGGTGGATGAAGACCGGATCGTCTAGCAGTGGCGTCTAATGGGGGTGGGGGGTGGGGGGTGGAGGGCAGAAATAGGAAAAGAAAGAATTAAAAAAACTCCCATCTAGTGTAAACCAACAGCAACTGCATCTACGCAGCTAAAAGTCCTCTGTAAAGGTTTTGTGATATTTTATAATATTATCTACTGATCATATTATGTTAGCTTATGATACCTATTAGTAAACAAGCAATGATTATGCTTAACATACAAGGAATGTTTTCCTTCCTTCCTTCCCTCCCTCTTCTATTCCTCCCTCCGTCTATTCCTTTTTTCTTTTCCTTCCTTCCCTCCCCTATTCCTCCTTCTATCCTTCCCTCTATTCCTCCCTCCCTCTAGTCTTTCTTTCTTTCTTTCCTTCCTTCTATTCTTTATCTTCCTTCCCTCCCCTATTCCTCCCTCTATCCATCCTTCCCTCCCTCTACTACTTCCTCCCTCTGGTCTTTCTTTCCTTCCTTCCTTCCTTCTATTCTTTCTTTCCTTCCCTATTCCTTCCTCCCTCTACTTTCTTCCATTCATTCTTTTTCCTTTCCTTTCCTTCCCTCCCCTCCCTTCTTCTATTCTTCCCTTCCTTCCCTTATTCCTCTCTTTCCTTCCTTCCTTCCCTCCCCTATTCCTTCCTCTATTCTTTCATTCTTTTTCCTTCCTTCCTCCCTCTATTCTCTTTCATTCATCTTCCTTCCCCCCCCTTTTGCAGTTTCTTAACTTGTTTTCTCTACTTTTAAGGGTGGCTTCAATTACATCTGCGTGTGTTTCAACACACTGAGTTGTTCTGCCTACTTTTTCTTCTTGTTGGTAAAATTTATTAAATGAATTCCAGAAAGAGCAAACTGCTGGCACTAAAAAGGGGTCCGAGAGGCAGACCTTGTAGCCGTTTTTCCACTTCTCGTCAAGGAGTTCCTCCGCCTGGATCCTTCGGGCGACGTGATCTCCCAGACCGGCCAGGACGATCTGTCTCAAGAAAATGACCTGTTCTTCCGTGGGGGGCTTCATTTGAGGGTCAACAAACAGCTCTGCACCAGGGCAAACAGCATTTACTGGGAAGGGAACATAAGACACACACACACACGTACCGAGATTGTGAGAATCAAGAGACAGACGGAGGTGGCCCCCACCTGAATGATGCTCCCAAGGCAAGGAAGAGCAGATCCCAGGGAAGGGAGCAGGTGTGGAGTCTTACCTGCCGTGGTGAGCTGCCCACGCAACCGCCGGATTTCCACCATGGCCTTGTAGCGCAGGCCGTTGGTGCTACAGAAATGAGGAGTGCATCCTGCATATTCACAAGCGCCCACGGCTCCTGGAATGACAGAATAACAGCACCCGACTGTCAGGAAATTGCTCCTTAGTTCTAGGCTGCTTCTGTCCTTGATTAATTTCCACCCGTTGCTTTTTGTCCTGCCTTCAGGGGCTTTGGAGGATAGGATGGGATGGGATGTGCTGAGATGCGATGTACTAGGACTAGGACTGAGAAGAGAAGAGAAGAGAAAAGAAAAGAGGGAAGGGAAGGGAAGGGAAGGGAAGGGAAGGGAAGAGAAGAGAAGAGAAGAGAAGAGAAGAGAAGAGAAGAGAAGAGAAGAGAAAAGAAAAAAGAGAAGGGAAGGGAAGGGAAGGGAAGAAAAGAGAAGAGGAGGGGAGGGGAGAGGAGAAGAGAGGAGAGGAGAGGAGAGGAGAGGAGAGGAGAGGAGAGGAGGAAGGGACCTTGGAGGTCTTCTAGTCCAACCCCGCGACTCAAGCAGAAACCCTCTACCATTTCAGACAAATGTTTGTCCAATCTCTTCTCGAAAACCTCCAGTGATGGAGCATCCACGAGGATGGATAGAACAAGGGTCCACTTGTTCTATCAGGAAAGTCCCCCTTAATTGTTAATTATTTTAGGTTGAATCTCTCCTTGATTCATTTCTACCCGTTGCTTCTTGCCCTGCCTTCAGGTGCTTTGGAGAATAGCTTGACTCCCTCTTCTTTGGGGCAGCCCCTGAGATATTGGAAGACTTCTCATGTTTCCCCTGATCCTTCTTTTCATTAAAGTAGACATACCCAGTTCCTGCAATCGTTCTTCATATGTTTTCACCTCCCGTCCCCTAATCCTCTTTGTTGCTCTTCTCTGCACTCTTTCTAGAGTCTCAACATCTTTTTTACATCATGGGGACCAAAATTGGATGCAGGATTCCAAGTGTGGCCTTACCAAGGCATTATAAAATGGTGCTAACCCTTCACGTGATCGTGGTCTCTCATCTGTGGGGGAAACCCCTAACCCCATGAAAGTTTATAGCCCCCAACCCAACCAACAAGTAGATCAGTTTTACCGAGCATCACCATGAGATCTCCCAGCTTCTGAGAAGGTCCTTGGCCAGCCCAAATCCTTTGCATCTGTGCCACACGAGCTCTCTTCCCTTTGATGTTCTCCTGCTCTTCTTCATTCAGGGAAGGCCTGTATTAAAAAAAATGAATAAATGAAGGATTCAATCAAACAAGCCGTTCGTCGTGCAGGCCACAGAAATGTCCCTCGTGGTATGGATGCCTTTCTCTTCAAACTATCATATAGTTTATTATAATGTACATAGATTTGCAAAACAATGGGATAAAGGAATATTCCTGAACTGTGTTTTATAGTTTATCTCATGGCTACTGTGAAATTGTGCGAATGCATCAATGCAGTGCATGTTATCTCAACTTGCAGAGCTTGGATTCACTGGATGAGTTTACCCAAAATGTAAATATTGCAGAATGTAGAGCCTCATGCTTCTTGGAGGTTTCTCTGTGTCCTCAGGGTCACCCGAGTGTTGCAAATGGTTCCTGTAGTCTGCAATTTTTAGACACAGGACACAGATAAAGCTCCAAGTGGCCTCAACGACCCTCTAAAAGGATGCAAATGACCAGCTGTCTGCAAGGAATATCAATCCTTCCCCACAACCATCCAGTCAGAGCTGAAGAAGCTTATTTATTGGTTTGATTTATATGCCGCCCTTCTACGGGGACTCAGGGCGGCTTACAATGCGTTAAGCAATAGCCTTTATACTTTTGTATATACCTGCTTAGTAGGGCTTTCGGCCCCCCCAAGAGGTATTCTTTTTTATACAAAGTCAGCTTATTGCCCCCACAATCCGGGTCCTCATTTTACCTACCTTGGAAGGATGGAAGGCTGAGTCAACCTTGAGCCTGGTGAGATTTGAACTTGCAGTAATTGCAGGCAGCTGGCAGCTAAGTGCTACTTAACAGCACTTTAGTCCGCTGCGCCACCAAGGCTATTTTAAGCTTCTTGGATGAGAAGCAAAATGCCTTCAAAGAAAAAAAACAGAAAGTCCAGTTGCCTCTTGAAAAAGCACCTTTGGGTCCTAAAATGAGGCGAAAGTCACTTGCTTAGCAACGGGAATTATGGACTCAATTGTGGTCGGTAAGTTGAGGACCGCATGTACTGAATCTTTCGTCATGCCTTTGAGTCAGTCTTAACTCTTCCAAACCCATGGAACAGAAGTTGCCTTCGGAAGCTGTGGGAGCTTCATCACTAGAGGCTTTCAAGAAGAAACTGGACTGCCATTTGTCAGAAATGGTGTAGGGTCTCCTGTCTGGGCGGGGGGTTGGACTAGATGACCTACAAGGTCCCTTCCAACTCTGTTAATCTGTAAAACCCATGGACAAATCGGTGCCATTTTGAGGGATGTTTGTTTAACCAGGGTGGATTTGATTTAAATCGAGTTGATTTAAATCACAATTTAAATCACTAGTAAAAAGGCTTGATTTAAATCAACTCGATTTAAATCATAATTTTTAAAGAGCAACTGTCATCTCTGCTACTCCTTTGACCCACTGTTGACTCACCGATAGTCCCAGCGTTGCAGAATATACAGCCTCATGCTACGTAACTAAGCTCCATTTCATGCCGAATAAACTAAATTATTTATGTATCTTAAATAGAAAACTATCTTAACGATAGATTTTTACCCCAAAAGTTTTTTATTAAAATAAATTCGATAAAAATCAAAAAAATCCGATTTAAATCAAAAAAATCCGATTTAAATCAAAAAAATCCGATTTTTTATTTTTTTAAAAAAAATCATTGATTTTTATCCACCCTGTGTTTAACCCTCAAACCTGGTCGGAGCCCATAAAACCATTTGACCCAGCAACAGGCTGAGTTTCTCAGTAGCCCCGCCGTGGCTTTACCTGTTGAACTCTTCAAACAGCTCCCTCACCGTCAAGGCCGAGACTAAGGCGATGGTATAGGGCAGGCAGTGGTGCTGTTGGCTCAAGGCGAGCATCTTGGCATAACGTGGGGCTACCGGGAAGGAGGCCATGAGAGCACCCAAAGGGCTGATGGGACAGCTGAACTTGGCTTCCTGCAGCTTTTCCAACCTGGAAGAAGGGAACAAGGAAATTTTGGAAGGGAGGGAAGGAAGGAAGGTTGTTAAACAAATGAAAGACAAGTCAAGGGTTATCTTTTCAACCAAGTGCTAAAAAATGTCAAGCATCTGCATGTAAAGCACACGACCATGGGAATGCTGCAACCGGGTGAAAAGTGGCCATAAACCACCTTTTTTTCAGTGCCGTTGTTAACTTCGAATGGTCACTAAATGAACTCTTGTGTAAGGACCTGCCTCAGCTATCTTCTCCGGAAACATGACTCTTGAAACAAATGGTATTTCGAAAGGAGCTTTTACTGAGAGAAGAGTTTGCAGAGAAGTCAGGCGGAGTCTGAAGAATCCCACATGAAGCTTTAAGCTAATTCCTCCTGTTCAACCCCCACCCCGAATAGAATAGAATAGAAATGGAATAATAGGAATAGAATAGAATAGAATAGAATAGAATAGAATAGAATAGAAATGGAATAATAGGAATAGGAAAGGCAATAGAATAGAATAGAACAAAACAAAACAGAACAGAATAGAATAACAGAGTTGGAAGGGACCTTGGAGGTCTTCTAGTCCAACCCCCTGCTTAGGCAGGAAACCCTACACCACTTTAGACAAATGGTTATCCAACCTCTTCTTAAAAACTTCCAGTGTTGGAGCATTTACAACTTCTGGAGGCAGGTTGTTCCACTGACAAATTGTTCTCACTGTCAGAAAATTTCTCCTTAGTTCTAAGTTGCTTCTCTCCTTGATGAGTTTCCATCCGTTGCTTCTTGTCCTGCCCTCAGGGGCTTTGGAGAATAGCTTGACTCCCTCTTCTTTGTGGCAGCCCCTGAGATATTGGAAGACTGCTATCACGTCTCCCCTGGTCCTTCTTTTCATCAAACTAGACCTACCCAATCCCAGCAATCATTCTTTTTATGTTTTAGCCTCCATAATGTGCAAAGGTAGATTCAGAAATGCAACCGACTGCATTTGTTCGAAGTTCTTTTAGTCCCTTTCGCCTTTCATACCTTCCAGATGTGACAGGAGCCTTCAAGGCACCGAGGGCAATCAGCAATTCCTCTGCAGCCTTCAGGGCATCGGTGGACGGAGGGGTAGGAAATGGGAAGTTGATTACCTATCGAGAGCAAAGAGACAACGGATGAGATGGAGAGATACATGTGGTGAAGTATTGGGATGGTATGAGGGAAGGGCCTTGGGAGATGGGAGGAAGAAGGGCTCCCTGGTGAACAATTTCAGCCTTACAAGAGATAATTCCCTTTTTTAAAAAAAATAATTAACAAAAGCTAGGAAGGAGATTGACCAAACTGAACGCAGGCAGTCCTTGATTTACGACAACAATTGGGAATGGAGCTTACATCGCTATGTGATGCTATCATTCAGTGAGCCATGCCTGATTTTATGATCTTCTTTTCGCCATGATTGTTAAGTAAATTAGAACAGAACAGAATTAGAAGTGACTTTGGAGGTCTTCTAGTCCAAACCCCTGCTAAGGAAGGAAACCCTATATCATTCTGGACAAGTAGCTGTCCTGTCTCTAAAAAGTCACTACCTCTGGAGGCAAGTTGTTCCACTGGTTAATTGTTTTTCACTGTCAGGAAATTTCTCTATGTTCTAGGTTGCTTCTCTCCTCGATTAGTTTCCACCCATTGCTTCTTGTCCTGCCTTCAGGTGCTTTGGAGGGTAGGATAAGATGGGATGGGAAGGAATAGTAGTAGTAGTGGGAAGGAAAGGGAAGGGAAGGGAAGGGAAGGGAAGAGAAGGGAAGGGAAGGGAAGGAATGGGAAGGAAAGGGAAAGGGAGAGGAGAATGGAAGGGAAGGGGAGAGGAGAGGAGGGGAGGGGAGGGGAGAGGAGAAGGGAAGGGAAGGGAAGGGGAGAGGAGAGGGGAGGGGAGGGGAGGGGAGGGGAGGGGAGGGGAAGGGAAGAGGAGAGGAGAATGGAATGGAAGGGAAGGGAAGAGAAGGGAAGGGAAGGGAAAGAAAGGGAAGGGTAGGGAAGGGAAGGGAAGGGAAGGGAAGAGGAGAGGAGAGGAGAGGAGAGGAGAGGAGAGGGGAAGGGAAGGGAAGGGAAGGGAAGGGAAGGGAAGAGGAGAGGAGAAGGGAAGGGAAGGGAAGGGAAGGGAAAGGAAGGGAAGAGGAGAGGAGAGGGGAGGGGAGGGGAGGGAAGAGGAGAGGAGAGGAGAGGAGAAGAGAAGAGAAGAGAAGAGAAGCAGGAAGGGACCCTGGAGGTCTTCCAATCCAGCCCCCTGCTCAAGCAGGAGACCTTATGCTATTTCAGACAAGTGGCTGTATCTAATCTCTTCTTGAAAACGTCCAGTGATGGAGCAACCCACAACTTCTGAAGTCAAGTTGTTCCACTGGTTAACTGGATTCCCCGTCAGGAAATTCTCCTCAATTCCAGGTTGCTTCTCTCCTTCATTATAGTTCCTGCCCATTGTTTCTTGCCTTGCCTTTGGAAAATACCATATGTTGATTCCTCTTTTTTAATGAATCAGATGGCTGTTAAGTGAATCTTGCGTTTGTCAAGCTAACCCAGCTTTTCCTATCGACTTTGGACTCTGGAAAGGTTGCAACTAGGAACCACACTCTTATTTTGACCACGTGACTGTGGGGATGCTGAAATGGTCTTAAGCCCAACAACCAGTCGCAAATTCACATTTTTACGGGGACGTTGTAACTTCAAAACGAACGGTTGTAAGTCAAGGACTACCTACCAAAGAAGTGTCTAAAAAATGGGATTCCCACCTTCTCGATGTTCAACGCTTTCATTTGCAGAATTAAATCGTCCACAGGTCGCCTGGTGATCTCGGGAGCCGAGAACTGCTCAAAATCACTGAACACAGCCGAAGAATACAGCCTGGGACACACAAAAAAAACCAGCAACGGAGATCAAAACAATCCTTGAAAAAAAAAAAACCAACAACTTGTTTGGCTCTGCAACCCAACAAGAGAGACACAGACTTCAGAGGATAATTAGAACTGCAGAAAAAACCATGGCTACCAACCTGCCTTCCGTTGAGGACCTGTCTACTGCACGAGTCAAAAAGAGGGCTGGGAAAATATCTACAGACCCCTCGCATCCTGGACATCAACTGTTTCAACTCCTACCCTCAAAACGACGCTGTAGAGCACTGCACACCAGAACAACTAGACACAAGGACAGTTTTTCCCCAAACGCCATCACTCTGCTAAACAAATAATTCCCTCAACACTGTCAAACTATTTACTAAGTCTGCACTACTATTAATCTCATCTTCTCATCGTTCCCATCACCCATCTCCTCCCACTTATGACTGTATGACTGTAATTTTGTTGCTTGTATAATTTTTACCCTATGACTATCATTAAGAGTTGTACCTTATGATTCTTGATGAACGTATCTTTTCTTTTATGTACACTGAGAGCATATGCACCAAAGACAAATTCCTTGTGTGTCCAATCACACTTGGCCAATCAAGAATTCAATTCAATTCAATTCTATCCTATCCTATTTGTACCCTACGACTATCATTAAGAGTTGTACCTTATGATACTTGACGAATGTATCTTTTCTTTTTATGTACAGTGAAAGCATATGCACCAAAGACAAATTCCTTGTGTGTCCAATCACACTTGGCCAATAAAAAATTATATTTTATTCTTCTAACAAACATCCGTTTTTAAAGAACTGTGATATTCTCCTTGTTGTGTTCAAAAAAAAAAAAAATCAAGACGATTTAGGATTGGGATGGTGGCAGAAGAGGTTTTTAAAAAGAAAAGCGAACAGTGCGTGCAAATATTGTCCATATGTAGACACACACACACACACACAATGCACACACTAAGGCTCTGCCCTTCCAAGGACACAACTACCCAAATCAGAAGTTGCTACCTTCACCCAATGGGTATCAAGGGCTGATCTGCCTTGTCCTCAGAGCTGGGGAATTAAAGGCATTTTCTTGAACATTTGGGCATTGATAGAAGAGAATATTTGTAGCTCAGGGTTGTCCTTGGTGCTCTCTGAGGTTGGCAGTTTTCTTGCAGACGTTTCATGACCCCACTAGCTAACATCATCAGTGCTAGAAGGGAGTGGGGTTTTCTCTCTGCTTATGCAGGTAGTCTTAGACTTAAAACAATTCATTTTGTGACCAATGTTATAAAGGTACTGAAAGAAGTAACTTATGAATGCCACATTTGGGCATTCCTGACTTTCAACACTTACAAACTTTGTAGCATCCCCTTGATCAAAATTCAGATGCTTGGCAACTGGTTCATACTTATGACCGTTGCTGTGTCCCCCAATGTCACATGATCACCCTTTGCGACCTTCTGATAAGCAAAATTAATGGGGAAGCCAGATTCACTTAACAACTGGGGCAACTATGGTTGTAAAATGGGGCAAAACAAACGTCTCGCTTAGCAACATAAATTTTGGGCCCAATTGTGGTCGTAAGTGGAGGACTACCTTTATACAAATGGCTTGCCCTGTCATACCAGACCAACAATGAAGCAATAAAAACAGCCTAATAAAGGAGATTTCCCATCAACATAGACAGAGAAAGCCATTAGTATATTAAAAAATAAGGGGAAACCCCACTCCCTTCTAGCACTGATGATGTTACCTAGTTGGGTCATGAAATGTCCACAAGAAACACCACCAAGTTCAGAGAGCACCAAGGGCGCCACATTTGGGCATTCCTGATTTTCAAGTCTGTATAGGGGCACGGTGGCTCAGTGGCTAAGATGCTGAGCTTGTCGATCTGAAGGTCGCCAGTTCAGCGGTTCGAATCCCGAGTGCCGCGTAACGGGGTGAGCTCCCGTGACTTGTCCCAGCTTCTGCCAACCTAGCAGTTCGAAAGCACGTATAAAAAATGCAAGTAGGAAAATAGGGACTACCTTTGGTGGGAAGGGAAGAGCGTTCTGTGCGCCTTTGGCATTGAGTCATGCCGGCCCCATGACCACGGAGACGTCTTCGGACAGCGCTGGCTCTTCGGCTTTGAAACAGAGATGAGCACCGCCCCCTAGAGTCGGGAATGACTAGCACATATGTGCGAGGGGAACCTTTATTGTTTACCTTTTTAAAGGGGGTGGGGGGGGACCCAGTTAGCTGACCTGTAACAGTGGCCTGGCTCTGTTCGGCCCGCTCGACCTGCCCGCTGGTTGGCCGAAGCCTGGGATGTCCACATAACCTTGAAGGACGAGATGCCGGTGACTTTGTCGTAGAACCGTTTCTTGACCTTCCCGCAATCAACCACGTATTTGACGCCCGGGATAGTCAGAGATGTCTCCGCCACGTTGGTAGCCACGACGCACAACCTGGTCCCAGGTGGAGACGGCCTGAAAACCTGAGATGGGGGCAGTTTTCAAGGGATGAGAAAAAAAAAAAAGAACCATTTCACCAAAGACAAGAGAATGAAGTCTGCTAGTCACTCCTTCCACAAGGAGCATTTGCGGCGATGTTCTCTTATGTTGGGAGAGCTCCAGGCTTCCCGCCGGCCATGCCCTGTTTGTAAAGACTCCATTACTGGGGTGGAATGTGGCCTGGCTTCCCCCTTGCCTTTGCATGTCAGAAGGTCCCAAAAGGTGAACAAACGACTCCAGGATGCTGCAATTTTTACAGAGGCACGACTGAGAGCATTTTAACAAACTGCACCCCTGTTTGGTTTGGTGGCTGCAGTGCCTCAGATAGAAAGGCCATTCAGAGAGTGGTGAGGACAGCGGAGATTATAGGAAGCTCACTTCTCGTTATTCAGGATGCTGCTTAATAAGCGCTGTGTGCTTAGAGCTCGAAGCGTTGTTAGAGACCCCACACACCCACTTCGTGGCCTGTTTCTGTTGCTCCCCTCTGGGAGGAGGTTTTGAAGTATTTCTAGCAGGACTACCAGATTCTGTAACGGCTTTGATCCCTAGGCCATCCGTCTGGTAAACTCACAAGATTCATTTTTCTTGCCATGTACATGTATACATCCGAATTAGACAGTGTTGTTCCTCTGTGTCATATATGTGTGTGTGTATGTGGATATATGCATAATGGTTATCTTTTGAGAGTTGAATGCAATGAAATTTCATTTTAACGTATGCCGATTAGTGTACATTTAAAGTGACAATAAAGCTATTCAAAATCTATCTTCTATCCATCCTCTACCCATCTTTCCCTTTCCCTCTCTCTAATCTATCATTCTATCACTCTAGCTGTATCTATCTATCTCATCTGTCTATATCTATCTCTAATCTATCTATCTCATCTGTCTATATCTATCTATCTATCTATCTATCTATCTATCTATCTATCTATCTAT